AAGTCCATATAACGTATCAGTAACATGTAATGCCATTACACTTCATGAAAACGAGTAAATAAAGATAAGTTCCGCACGGCTTTCACATGATTACATGTCGATATAGTCTGTTAATACAAGAGGGGAAAGCAAGACATTAACTCAAGTGCAGTGCTGCCGTAGTAGGTTGCAACTTCGAGCGGGCACACATATTGTGCTAAATGTGTTAAAATACTTTGAGCATCGCCTGTTAATTCAAGAAGCTCTTTGCGGACGGCCTGTAACCGCTGAAGGAATGGGGGGAAGCGGACACGTTGAAATGAAATCGGATGAAAAGCCGTTCCTTGAGTTACCGGGTGTATAAACATTACATTACATTATTACATTAACATTATTATATTCGCACCCGCGGGGCTGGGCTCGTCCGTACAGCGGTGCGGTACCGGCGTGCGACAGTAGATGTGGGTAAAAATGATTTAAGTGTAATGTCCTGCTGTAGGTGAAGCCTTCCTCTCTGAGTGCAGAATTCTTTGCTGAAGATAGAATCGCACACCTATGTCATTGCAGAGAGAAATGTTTACGGAATATTTAGGCAGGCCAGTCAGCTTCTCTGAGAGTTTTTTCGGGTCCCCCCCAGTGTAATGGTCTGCGTTGTAAACCTTTAAGATCAGGCGCTACTAAGTAGTTTCTCAGAGCGTTGTATCTGATGAGAACTCTGTCTGCTTCTCGGGAGGGGGGAGGGCACGCAGAGCTCAGCGGCCTGCCCCTCAAGACCATCGTGCAGGTGACCTCCGACCTGCTGACGACCCCGCAGGGTGCGAGAATGAATGACGCAGGCAATTGCACCTTCTTACGTGGCAGGGAGATGGTCAATATAAAATTCAATATGCAATTATGAAATAATTAAGCGCTATTTTTTGGTCTCCCCCCCCAAAAAAAAAATGGACAGTCCATGAGGTGTTGATGCTACTCTGTATTGTGCGTGTATTTTAATAAAACCAATTTCTGAGATGCTGCCACACAGTTGCACGTAACCCAGAACACCGAGGAGGGAGAAATATAAACTACAAATAGAAGAGACGGCTTAAACAAAAAATAACTACGAAGTTCTGAGCGACGTTTAACGTTGTGGCAGTCATCAAGCTAGTAAAGCCTTGATTTATTATTTAAAAAAAAAAGGTTAAAAAAGTTTGATTTGGGAACTGCGGGGCGTGATCCTTTCTGTTCGTCAGCTGTAGGTTTTCCTGAGGGGTAGTTCTGCGTCCGCAGCTGCTGTTTGAATTTCAGTCGCTCTAGCTCCGTGTTGGCGGAGAATAAAGTTTCCTGGAGTTGAGTCTGTCGTGTTGTCTCTCTCTTCCTGCTCCGCGTCACAGTTAAGAGTCCGGAGAGCAGCCGTGCTCCCTATCAGTACGATGTGGCTCCTTGAGATAAACTCCATACTACATGGTTAGCACTGTGAAGGCTGGGGTTCAAATCTCACCTAGCCATCTTCCCCTCTTGCTGTTTTTTTTATTTAAAAAAATGTAATTCAGGTACTTCTTTTTAAACAAGACATTTGCGACGTTTGACTCTTCTAGGTTTTTGACAGAAATCGGGAAAAGTGGTCTCCCGCTGCCCCGCAGCACGCTGAGGCACTGTTCTCCTTTGCACCGCCTCCAAACCTGCGCACAGATCACAGCGCTCAAACTATCATCAGCCCCGACAAACCTCTCCAGCTCGGAAGAAGACCAAACCAAAACCCGTTTCTGCAAATACAAAACATTACGCAGGAAATACGTGTAACTGTTATTATGGGTAGAGATGTCTTTGTGTCGATACTAAAACATTTCAAAACACCTCAGGTTCTCCGGTCAGTCGTGCTAATATTATACTGTGTGTGAAAACGGAAACGGTGCCCTTAATATACACGTTTTAAACTTTTTTATTGAAACAAAAATTCATACTTTACAAAAGTCCATATAACGTATCAGTAACATGTAATGCCATTACACTTCATGAAAACGAGTAAATAAAGATAAGTTCCGCACGGCTTTCACATGATTACACGTCGATATAGTCTGTTAATACACGAGGGGAAAGCAAGACATTAACTCAAGTGCTGCCGTAGTAGGTTGCAACTTCGAGCGGGCACACATATTGTGCTAAATGTGTTACAATACTTTGAGCATCGCCTGTTTATTCAAGAAGCTCTTTGCGGACGGCCTGTAACCGCTGAAGGTATGGGGGGAAGCGGACACGTTGAAATGAAATCAGATGGAAAGCCGTTCCTTGAGTTACCGGGTATATAAACATTACATTACATTATTACATTAACATTATTATATTCGCACCCGCGGGGCTGGGCTCGTCCGTACAGCGGTGCGGTACCGGCGTGCGACGCTAGGTGTCAGTAACTATAGTAACGGAACCTCTAATGGGAAACACCAAAACACCTTTTTCTTCAGTGCAATAACCTAAGATGATGATAATAATTAATAATAATCCTTACACTTATACAGTGCTTTTCTGAAAAACTCCACTCAAAGCACTTTACAGGTAATGGGGATCCCCTCCACCACCAATGTGCAGCCCCACCTGGATGTCATTAGATGCCATAAGATGGAATTAAGCAGGTTCTCTCAGAACTCTCTCTGCTTGTCGGATGCAGAGCTCTGTGAACTATCTTTCTCGTTTATTGTGGTCAGTTTGGGTCTTTGAAACACCAGTGAAATATGCCGAACGAACTGTTTTTAATAAAGGTCTTTCAAAGATCCGTGAAATACAGCAAAGGGACAAGTAAAGGTTTGTTCCATGCTTAAAAAAAAGAGAAGACAAATACAACCGAAACTAGTTTGCTGCACTCGGCAAAGGACAATGCCGATTTTTAATTGGAAAGCCAGGGTACTGGGTCTGTGACGCGAATGTGATGTATTGGAACTTCGCACTCACCATATTGACGCTGCCTAGTTTGCACTGAAGGTTTATCGTTCCTGTAGGTCGTTGACTAATATGTAAGTGACGTTCAGTGATACTGAGACGGATGCGCAATCAGCCGTCACCCGTGTGCGAGCTTGCAAACCGCCAGTGGGCCGTATCGTCCACCGTGCACGTTCACAACGCAGTTCAGCTCTCGCGAGGAAGGCAAGTTTGTGGAAGAAACTCTCCGTGTTTTTTTTTCCCCTCGCAGACTGAAAGGACGCGCTTGTCGCACAGTGCCCAATATCACTGGGTAAAACGTGGGAGAAGGTCTTCGTGCTGTGACAGGTAGATAAAGGGAAGAGAAAAAATAATTTCAGATCAAAACCCTCTTAACAGAACCAGATGTTAAAATTTGCACCTCACATTTGCCCAATGTGGAATGGCTACCCACAGGACTCTTGATTATTAAGTGTTTTATTAAAGGCAAATCTTGATTTCTATTTCCTTAGGGGTATTGATGTAAATATTAAATTATTTTGTGCATCACCTGTATATTCAAGGATCTGTTCGATGGGGGGTTAATTGCTGAAGTTATTCTATCCAGGTGGACAGTTTCTTAAGGTAATTAGTCCTATGAAGAAGCCATTACTGGACATACCCGCACACGCAGGGCTGAGTGTGTCAGTATTACACTGCAGTATTCGGGGAGAGGACACTAGATGTCAGTAACGATACAGTCTGCGATGAATACTCTGGGAGAGCTACTAAATAAAGCTTTCTTATTGACTCGCCTTAAATCTACTGTATTACACACCTGACATTCGCATTCATAATATTAGGTCTGTCGGGTACATATTTATGTCCTTGGTAACAGCAGTCGTACTGTTAACGACCATACGTTAAGAATATATATTTATAGCACTGCTCGGTTGCGTCGAACTGTGTTAGAGATTATTTAGCATGTGCCCCCGTCCCTCTCCCCTCCCTGGGAGTTTGGAAGGGAACGATTTCAGATAAGGCCTTATTTATTTTATGTAGGTAAAAACGGAAACGTGGAGGCGCTGCCGGGCGAGACTTGAACGCTGATCCATGTTTCCGTTCGGATCATTCGTTGCTGCCAACATCCTCCAGCATCGGACAGTCTGAAGTGTTCCCCCTCCCTGGGAAGGAGCAGATGTTTCTCATTCAGAGACAGCAGCATCAGAGGCATTCTTTGGCTAATTGTGCAATTATCGGACGGTGCCTTTCATCACAGAAGATGGTTTTGGAATGCCCATTCCTAATTAAAAAAAAAACCCACCCTCGTTTAAAAAAAAAACGTATTTGTACTCTTGTCAGCTTTCAAAAAATAGGCGAAGGTTTTCGGGGGTTTTTTGGCGGGGTGGTGCTCCGGTCCCTCTTGTCATAAATTAGACCACTGCGTCAGACACGGATGACGAGCGCGATGTCCTTTGTTCATCGCGGGAGTTTATTTTTGTTTTTGTTTTTTTAAAAAAAGAACAAATATCCAAAAATACTCTTTTTTAAGAGAGGCCATCGGTTACACTATTTGAACTGAAAACTCAGATGTCACGTTCATCATCCCGGTACCACCACAGCCTACTCCAACAATGTGGTAGGCCAGTAAAAGTAGGGTAACATCCTCTTCTCAAGGACAATCTTTCAACAACTGCTCCTTGAGATTGATAGCAAGTACTACGCAAAATCTCGAAATAGTGAAGTGAACGGGGCATGCAGCTTACGGATGCGGCAAATTATATGAAAGCGGAAATATGCTACAGTAAACGTTTCCACGAGATTATCAATTTTTTGTACCATTTTAAAAATCGAATCACACGAATAGTGTTGAAGGAGCCGTGCGAACCCTAACAGCTAGATGAGCCTTCGGCAAAGAGCTGTTTGTTGTCGTTGTTTTAATTCGGAACTGCAACGAGATGGGCTTCTGTGGGCTGTTCAAAAGCCAGGACTCAGGTATGCGGACCAACCTCAAAATAAAGTAGCACACACTATAAAGCACTTCAACAGCCACAGGGCTTTAGAAAACAGAAGTCATAATTAAAATAAACCAGTTCTCTAAGAAGGGGCTAGCTTTTAGCTCGCGTTTGTGCGCGGTCCGTATCTCTGTAGAAACGTGTTTAGAGCGAAGTACATAGCGTCCAAAATCACAACCAATTAATGAGATACAATGAGGGTTGAGATACAAAACCTACAGAAGTCCTATACTCCTATTCAAACAGGCTAGGTTCCTCCGGCAGCCGTGTCAAAACAGTCCAGGCTCATTAACCCAGAAAAAGCTGTTAAACCTGTTGGCGTCTCCGCCAGTAGCTCGAAGCCCTGTGACTGGGGGTGCGAACAACAGTCTCTCGAAAGGAGGTAACCCGCGACCGGGCTCTGGAGAAACGGGAAATCATGGTGAACTTCACCTTTCAGCGGTAAAGCCAGGGGTGGAGATGTGGGTTTAAACCTGGCAATCTCCTGCGTTTAAGGATACGCTCCAATTTTCCGTGGCGCTTAACATTATAAACCAGCGTGAAAACGAACGCTTGTATTACCGTGAAACAAAGAGCAGCATTGAAATTAACTTTCAGTAAAAACAAAAAATACCATACAGGACAATATAGGGAGTCTGTCTCCTCGGTCTCCTTTTTAAGAAACGCCTCCAACGCCCATACTGGTTACCCACCGTTAAGGCCAGAGAGCTGTCTGTACTGGTTAGGGATGTGAGACTGCTGAAGTTGGGTCTTTGGGACAGGGACAGAGTTCTGTCGCTTTTTCATATGAAGCCTAGCCTTTGCGGAACACAGACGCGAGTATCCAGGCACGAAAACGTAGGGACGTGTTCTGTATTTTATAGAAAGCGGAACTTGCAGCCTTTCGAAATGCGCTCTCTTCAAACTGTAGCCCACAATAGCAACACAGGGAAACGAGCAACGTGCTGTAGGTCATCAAATTATTTCAGAAAAGGATTCGCATCTGTTTCGCAGCACTTTGTGCACAATGTAGTACATTGCGCCGGCTTATGCCGCAGATGCTGTTATCTCCGAGGCTGCTTTTAAATTCACAGAGAAGCAACTTTGAAAGAAGGCGGTGGACGTTTCTCTCCACCTATTTGACAATTAGAGTACACAAACTACAGTTTAATTTATTGAAAATGAAAGATGTTAATATTGCGCGACGTGGCAGGGCGATAGTGTAAACATCGGCTACTATACTGTATTGTATGTAGAAAACTGTATACTGTATAATATCGGTGATTTTGCCACTGTTGGTGCTTTTTCCTGCTAGGGTAGAAGAGGTTCAAAGACACCGCTGATATTATTTTTAAGTTGTTGTTTTTTTTTTTGCGCTTGCTTTCAGGTTCCAGGGCTTGATTTTATAAACCGAGATCCCTCCTCCAAAGAACACCACCCCCCACCAGGCGTATTTGACTCCGATCCGGGCGCCCAGTCAGTCACAGTATCTGTCCGGCGCTCAGGACGGCTCGCAGGCACACGCGCGTGCCTCGAAGTTAAAGCGCCCCCGGGTTCAGGACCCCGATCAAACCAGCACAAAATCGGGACTTGATAAGTTTGGACAGCGGGTCAGGGAACTGAAGGGAATTGTCACGCTGGAGAAGAGGTCCTTCTTCAGAGGACTTGTTTTGCCCCGGTGAAGTTGTGAACCCAGGTGCCCCCGAGATGTCGCCTTACACGTGAGCCGCTGTTTTTGTCTAGGGTTGGGGGGCGGTCGTGGTGGTGGTGTTGTGGGGGGGGGGACCGAGGAAAAAGGGTCAGCGTCTGTTCGGTAATCGCTCTCCTCCTATCCCTGCCCAACGATGGATACGAATTCCTGAGCCGCCGGAGTACACCGTGTGATTGCACCGAGCGCCGCCAGTTTCTGATGCGATCGCAATTATCGGTGATCTCGGCTACACCTCTCGGACTCCAGACATAAACAAAAAAAAAAAAGATTGTTCGTTTCACGAAGAAGATCATGGCATTGGATTACGCGCCGGTGACGTCGAGACCAGTGCTTGTTTGGTTTGTGATAGGTAAGTCCACATCGTAAACGCCAGGGATATAAATACATCACTTTAAAAAGAGTACTGGACTTCGGAGTGATGCGTTTTGTTTTTATGATTCTCAATGGCTATCCTATATGATCCAAACAGCTACATCCAACTTGCGCGGTGCAGATGTACAGCATTGTAATTCAAAGCAAAAAAAAAATGATATGCCGTTTGAGTTTGCTGGATCTTGCTAGAACTTGGGTCTCCTAAAGAGCTCCGCACATTTAAGGAGCGCAAACTTAAGTGTCTGAAATGCAACGAAGCACAACTGCTCCGAGCAAGAGTCGCGGTGTCTGAGCACGCTGGGGCGCCCTTTCTAGAGATACACACCTGCGTTTCACTCAGGTGCGTGTTGTGGAAATGAAGCGATTATTTGCTCAGGTATCCGCTCCGGTTTCACGATTTGCCCTAATGGTAAAAAGACAGTAAAACATCATTCTGGGACTAGCATCATCAGGTTAGCCTTTTAGGACAGGCGCACCGCTTTAACGGTAATAATCCGTAAGGAGAGCAGGGCCAGCGTTCTCAACTAGTTCAGCTGTAAAATAAGTTAAATTGTGAGTCTCATTAAAACCCGATCAGGTATTTTATTTCACGTTATTATATACCCTAGGGCCACAGCGCGAAGTCTGGGCAATGGACACAGAGAGACGAGGTACATCGTAAAGGAGAGCAGTCCTTAAGTGTCGCCCAGGTCTGTGTCTGCCAGGATTTACATCCGCGTTTTATTTCCATCGCTGCTGATGGAGATTATTTCAACCCGTATAATTAATTATGTTTTATTACCAGCATGACGATAGCATTTCCAGACCAGATAATTAACCTATCAATAATATCGCTGGTAGCAGTATAAATGATAACATTTATTTAGCTGATAATTTACATAAATTGCTCTACTGCATAAATTGCGATTATCTCAGCATCGCAGATAACGGTAAATTATGCGTTTTCGTTCTAATCACCGCTGCTAATTAATATGTAAATGAGCTGATTGCTTAAGACTTCTTTGTGCACTCATTCTTGGTTTCAGAAATTCTTTAACGTTTATGATGAGCAAGTTTCAGCATACAGACCATTGCACAGCCTCTCCTCTCCTCTACGTGATAATTAAAACATGCTCCATATATCTTGCTAAAACCTCTTCATGGGCGAACAGTTTGCGATAAACCGACACGGGTAGGAATGTCAGTGTTTCAGACACGCCCGCAGAGTGTCCCATTAGCCCCACCAGCTCGTCCACCTGAGAGAGGTCGGTGCGGTACGGGGCTGAGACTAATTCCGCTCCCCATACAACTCCTTAAAACCTTATTCTCAAATTTAAAAATGCATATGAAACATAAAGAAAATGATCATTGCATTGTCTTCAATTAAGAACTTGTTTGGAGCAAAAAAGTACAAAAGATCCGTGGCTGCCTAGGAGTACAGTTGAGAACCACGGCGCTAGCGTGGTGATGGTAACCCGTTGTGATATAAGGTAGTGAAATGCAAGACAATGCGATTAAAAAAAAAACGAACATAGCTGTAGGTATTCCTAATAATCAGGAGCTGCAGCGTAGGCAAAGAATTTTGTCGATCAATTCACACAATACAGACCAGCCTAGCGTCTTTATCAAATTGAAATTCCAAGTTATGTTTTAATTCGCATAATTACGACAATGGTTCTGTGCAAAGACATAATTACACGCCGCAAAATTGGAAGCAGAGACGAAGCGGGGATCACAATCCAGTGTTTTTTAGTCCTGTACCAATTTCTTCACACCAGTTGTGAAGAAAGGCAAGGTGGGTTAATTGCTATTTTTGTCGCCAAACACTTCTCGTCCTCCGCAGTATAAAACCCGTGATTGAACGCACTGCCCGGAGAGTGTGGTGGCAGTCAGACTAGCCTGGCTCTCTGCGGGAGGGGTTTTCAATCATTTCGTTTCCCAGTTTCCCAGTTTCCCAGTACAGTGCTGGCTGGCCGCTTCATGATCAAGCAAGAGGAGAGGCTGCTGCAGAAGTTCTTCTCGCGCCTTGCGTTTTTAGTTACGTAAACCGAATGCCCTTCACAACCGCACACGTCCTTTAGCAAATGTCATTTCTGGCGTAGGTGGGAGGCTTTTAGTTATTTTTAAAAGAAGCTTTAATCATAATTGTAGAGTCCTTATCTCCGTGACCCACACCTACGGGTTTCTCTTGCATATTTTTATTTATTAAAGGCCCAGTTCTACACAACAAACAATGCAGCCGGCTCTAGGCAAGAGCAGCTCTGAATCCCGGGCCACTGTGTTAAGATCCTCGTACGCTGGAGTGAGTGAGTCAGCGGGCATTTCAGTTGTAAAACGAGGGCCATTGTGACTGTGTGGTGGTGTTTAAGTGTGCAGTGCAGCTACCCCGTACTGTAATGCTTTCTACACGTGACAGGTAAACGCTTTTGCTTCCATAGTATCAGAAGAACAGTCTGTGCTTTTTATTCAGTTTTTTTTTTAGAAAAACACAAGGCCACTAGCTTAATGTCCAGGGAGCACCGCTGTAAGGATGATAGTGCTCAGCAGATCAGATGTTAATCTCCTGGTGCAGTTATCCCATGTTCAAATTACTGCGGCCTGCCCCATCTGTTCCTTCTAGGCCGAGCCCTGTGCCTCTACCCCAGTATGCTTTGTCAAGAGCTAGCTTTCATGTCTTTGTTTACTTCATCTGTTCTCTTCGGGTTTTTTTTTCTCCTTCTCGGTCCGTCGGAAAGGTCCTGCCTGCAGTACAGGTGGCGATGTTAACTGTTGTCCCTTTCCGGAACGCTCTCTTCTGCGGTGGGGCCACGGCCTGGGTTTCTCGGTATTGTCCTTTGCACATCAAAGGAGTCTGAGCGAGTCCTGTGAGCAGATGTGCACTCCAGATGTGGCTTCGTTACTGTGATGGAAGTGGGCCGCAGAAGCCCCCAGGGTGAAGGATGGGGTGAAGTTTGGTTTGAGAAAATAAAGAAAATAACATATATTGTGGAAAGTGATCATTTTTCGCAACTTCATATAGAAATGAGAACATTGGACAGTTTAAAGGCAACCTTTTATATAGACACTAGAGACATTGCTGTTGTCGGTGTGTTGTCCACAGTGTACAACAACCACATCCCCATTGTCTGTTGTGTCCCTGTTGTTTTCCCTTCTGCTACAGGACTGTAATGGATGCTAAAATTGTGCAGTCTCCAGAGTTTGTCAAGCTAGAGAGCACTTTCACAACGGTCTGGTATCCTCTTGTATCCTGTGTCTTGTGTCCCAGGCCTCATGGCAGTGCGGTGTGATTTTAGTTTGCAGCAGGTTTCTGCGTTAAGACTCACAGTGGTTCAGCCGGCCTCAGAACAGTCCTTTTCTCCATCTCTCAAGCCATCCACTTTTCCACACTGCTGAGGTAAAATGAAGAGTTCACAATGGCAGGTAGCTACGTTTCGGTCAAAGAAATGATCTTTCCTGCCCAGTAAACCCAGCATTGTGCCACATCCCAGTGTACAAAGAAGCTGCTGGTCCAGGGCTGCTTTCACAGTGGAATGTTTCCCACACTCGGTCAGTGTGACATTCTGGTCTTTTCTTTCCTTTTCCCAGCCTCTTTCCAGGCTCTGTTTCCTCCATTCAGGAGGCCTACCTTCACCTCTTGTTGCAGGGGCTTCCCGGGGGTCCGGGGTCCTTGTCTGCAGTCGCACGACCGACCCCACAGGAAATAAGGCCTGCGTGGGGCGATCCGTCTCCCTGTTTCCCAGCCCTTTCCCGGGAACGCCAGAGTCAGAGCGATGAGGTTCAGCTGTGCAACAAACACAAAGTTTGGTCATCGGCACACACCAGCAGGGCTGCGCTACATCAGGAGGGAAGATTTGTCTCCGTTTGTTTTTTCTAGCACTTATGGAGCAGTTTACAGATGTGGGGGATACAACCTTGACCCCCAAATGTGCAAAACTAACAAATACAAAAATAGCACCCTAACTACATAAAATAAAGCAGTCATGCACGTGTGCCTTCTTGTGTCCTTGAGACTGTGTGCGTCTGCAGGGCTTGATGTGGACGGCCGTGCTGTAAGGCTGATACTGTGACCAAATCTACTGTGCTCTGGGTAAATTAGACAATTCGGTGCTAATTGGCTGAGCACATTTTAAAATGGAAGTTCTCTCTACCGTGGAGATGATGATAATGTTAAGGAGAATAAAATAGTGAGGACAGCAGTGCCCCGGGTCTGCATTGTCAGTATTTTATCAATTATTTTCTGCCCGCTGCCAAGGCGCGCCCAGCGTGCGGGAGGAATCACCTGATTAAAAATGTAAATAGGGCTGGCAGGTTAAGTTCAATAAAAGATGAAGAGGAGCGCTAGCGTCCGGATACTGAGTGCCGACTCGGGGGAGGGGCACGGCTGTGATCGGTGATGTGCAGTGTGGCCTGTGAGGTCATCGGGGGTGGAGGGGGGCCACCCTAAACTTTTATGAGCTCTGTTCCGTCTGTGGAAACAGCGGAGCCGCAAGCGAGATGTTGACGGCTCAGTCCAGCGAGCCGGGCAGAACTACTGTAGCAGCGGAGGTCTCGGAACAGGAAAAGCCAGCCGGGCTCCCGACACGCACAGAGAGCCGTCCGGTAACGGGCAGCGCTGGGCACACGGCAGTGACCTGGCATTCTAAAAAAAAAAAGGAGGGTTTGAGAAACTGTTGGGGGAAAAAAACCCACTTGTTCACGTAAGGGACGAGCATTTCTATTGTGTAACGTAAATGGGGGGAATTTACGGGGCTTCCCATTAGTTAAAATGTAGTTCCATATTGTCTCCCTCACAGTGACGGGACGTGAAAGCTCCCTGGGAGAGTAGTAGGAGCACACTGACGTACTGCAGGGCAGCCACTGGCTGACAGTGGCTCTGCCTGAATGACCACTGTCAGCCCAGCGGTAGTGTACATTATATCGGTTACGCAATGGCCAGAGTAATTGCCACTGGTGTAATTCTATCGGGGATCATTCTGTGCACTGGGGGATGGTAGTGGG